GAGTGAGTGAGGCAGTGAGAGTGAGACATAGAGTGAGAGTGAGTCACTGAGTGAGGCAGTGAGAGTGTGTATGTGTGGCAGTGAGTGAGTGAGGCAGTGAGAGTGAGACATAGAGTGTGAGTGTGTGTGTGTGTGTGGCAGTGAGAGAGTGAGAATGAGGCAGTGAGTGAGTGACTCAGTGAGTCACTGACTGAGGCAGTGAGAGTGAGGCAGTGAGAGAGTGTGTCCAGTTATTCTTTTTTAACTGCAGGTTGTATTTCTTTCAATAGGTTTTATTGTAATAATAGACTGGGTTTTACTTTTCAGAAAAATCTGCTGAAATTGAAATTTATGATGAAGAATGTGACTCACCTGAGTCAGTCAACCAGCAAACGCAAGAGGAGAGTCCTGTTGAGGTTCACACTGCCGAAGATGTTCCAATTGCTGCGGAGGTACATGCAATTTCTGAAGACTATGATATAGAGGCAGAAAACAACTCCTCGGAGAGCCTCCAGGACCCAGCCGATGAAGAGCCACCAGCCAAGCTTTGTAAAATCCTTGACAAGAGCCAAGCTTTGAATGTGACTGCCCAGCAGAAATGGCCATTACTGAGAGCTAATAGCAGTGGTCTGTATAAATGCGAACTTTGTGAGTTCAACAGCAAGTATTTTTCTGACTTAAAGCAGCACATGATCCTGAAGCATAAGCGCACTGACTCAAATGTGTGTCGAGTGTGCAAAGAAACATTCTCAACCAACATGCTTCTGATTGAACACGCCAAACTGCACGAGGAGGATCCCTACATTTGTAAATACTGCGATTATAAAACGGTGATTTTTGAGAACCTCAGCCAGCACATCGCAGATACCCATTTCAGCGATCACCTGTATTGGTGTGAGCAGTGTGATGTGCACTTCTCCTCGAGCAGCGAGCTCTACTTACATTTCCAGGAGCACAGCTGTGACGAGCAGTACTTGTGCCAGTTCTGTGAACATGAAACGAATGACCCGGAAGATTTGCATAGCCACGTGGTAAATGAGCACGCATGTAAATTAATAGAGTTGAGCGATAAGTATAACCACGGAGAGCAGGGACAATATAGCCTCTTAAGCAAAATTACCTTTGACAAATGTAAAAACTTCTTTGTATGTCAAGTATGTGGTTTTCGAAGTCGACTTCATACAAATGTCAACAGGCATGTTGCTATTGAACACACTAAAATTTTTCCTCATGTTTGTGATGACTGTGGGAAAGGCTTTTCAAGCATGCTAGAATATTGCAAGCATTTAAATTCACATTTATCTGAGGGGATTTATTTATGCCAGTATTGTGAGTACTCAACAGGACAGATCGAAGATCTTAAAATTCACCTCGATTTCAAGCATTCGGCTGACTTACCTCATAAATGTAGTGACTGCTTGATGAGGTTTGGAAATGAAAGGGAATTAATAAGCCACCTTCCAGTTCATGAGACAACTTGATTAATGTCAGTGTCAAATAAATTTTGGCTTTTGTTTTTGTTTTTTTAGGTGTTGAAATGGATTATTTTAAAGATAATTTAAGGGAATTGCCTGTAACAAGAATATTTTTAATTTTCAGTTTTTATGGCATTGCTACATTGTCAGCGTATAATTTATCTGAAATGTATTTTTGATTCCATGGTAGTTGGTAGGTGACTCTTCCTATGACATGTGCTCCAATTTCATGAATTGTTTTTAAAAAATGTATTGAAGAAACTTCTGTTACCATAGGTGCTCTTGAGTTGTTTTAAACAAAGAAACACGCACACAAGACAGACTCGGTTTTCCATGATTAATCACTTCACATATGATGTCATTAAAGTCCAGCACTGAACCAGATCTGAAAGCACTCAATTGTATATGATGATGCCCCCTGGTGCTTCCACTAACCAGAACCCCAGTCCCCTTCTGCATTCCCCACTAGTAGCATGTTCCCCCATGGCATCAGTGGGCACGTTAGTAACACTAAGAGGTCAATGCTACTGCAGAGAGGATCCCATTCTTGTCAGACACTCTGGTTTTCTGTAATTCTAGCTTTCTGTTAATATTGTTGCTAAGCCTTTATGTGTTGAGTCATTTTAAATGTCCCCAGGGAGGGATGGAATTGGTGAGGGATCAGACAGTAAAGGGAAAGAGCCATTTCATAACTCACTCAGAACATGTCAGCATTTATTGCTGTAATGTGTAAAAGATTTTAGAAAGAAAGGGGCTGCTAGCATGATAATGTACAAATTACTTTTAACAATGGCAAAACTGGTTTCACTTCTGAAATAACAGTATCAAAAAGGTAGCAGTGGCTCATTGGCCTCAACTGTAACAAACATGGCTGCAAACAATACCACATCCAGGTATACTGAGAGTTGAAAAGACCACTGGTGTGGCCTATAGGTATTTCACCTCGAGTCCATTTTGAGAATGGTGGCTATACTTGTCCTCAAAACTCATCATTTTTAAAATTATGTCTGCTAATTTGTCATATATGTATAGCTGTGTTAATGTACGAGATAAAGGAGCTCCACTCTAATCGAAAGATTGCAGTCCTAAGTCCTCTCGGTGGGGACTCAGAGGCTTGGTAATCTGCTTCCAACCTCAGCTTTTGAACACTCCGTCTGTGCTCTGAGTTCGAATCTATCCACTGCAACTGGTTTTCTTTAACTGGTGTTCTTAGAAGCCACACTGCTATGTAATTGGTCGAGGAAGGGGAAGGAGCCGGTCAAGGAGGTCTGTCTGATAAAAGTATCACAATGCAAGTTGGAAGAGAATCCTAAAAATTATCACACAAACAAACAAACAAAACTATCACAGCCTTGTAGTTTCAGATAATTTTCTTATGAAAATAGAAACTTAGCTTGTAATTAGCCCAAGATCACATAACCCATTATAGCAGACAGGACTGGACTTCGGGATACTTGGCTTCCGGTCAGGTACTATTTCCATGACACCGTGTTACGTAAAGCTAAAGTCTGTCCTTGAAATGTCATTTCACCGAGTCATTCAGCTAGTCTGGTGAGTGCTTTGTCTTTTTCTACACACATCCTCTCAAAAACTCACTGATGGAATGATTCCAGTTCCGGGCACTCCTAAGGGACAGAGTCGAACTGCTCCCCTGTGTTTCTGAGACTTTAAATCTTTACAAGAGTAGATAGTTGGAGAAATTTGATTTTTAAATAGCACACCTTCATTGAATGTTTGTTTTTAAATTCTGTATTTTGCCTCTACATTGGGTCAGTGATCACATCCATGAGATTAATGCAACTACTCACGATGCACGTGCACGGTCAGAACCATATATTTCCGTACTTTCTGTTGAGTCTGCAGTTGGAAGCCACAACCCACTGACAGTTTGTCCAGTGAATTTTTTTGCTTTGATTCAGGTTTTTTTTTAATTGTTTTATTCGGGGCTCATACAAGTCTTATCACAATCCGTACATACATCAATTGTGTCAAGCACATTTGTACATTCATTGCCCTCATCATTCTCAAAACATTTCCTCTCCACTTAAGCCCCTGGCATTGGGTCCTCAGTTTTGATTCAGTTTTTAAGTGAGTCTATGATAGAACCTAAATTGCTGAGATAGCTGGTTTATATTTTTAACTTAAAATATCTCCTTAGAAAAATGTTTTTCCAACCATGAATCGATTTTCTTTTCAAAGACACATTTCCACCGAACTCTGTTGTGACTTGAATCACAATTCCAGTCTGAACAAACATACTTGATGGTGTTTATTAGCACATCAAGAGAATGCTTGGCAGCAGTGAACAGTCCTGATGGGTTAGACTTGTTTTCCTTGTTTTTTCTGTCTTCACCTTGTAATGAATTGTTGCTTTTAACATTCCAAAGCGTTTCCTTTGCACTTCAGATTTTGAAAACACGTGCACGATTCCAAGGTTTTCCTCTTCCTGCTTGTAAATTTGCTAATTCGGTAGGTATAAAATTGCCTTTCTGTAGTCTAGGGTTTCTCTGAATTTGAGTCTCCATATTGACCATTTTCTCAATTTCACAGGTCTAATGCCTATGACATAATTTCTGAATTGTTGCCCACATATATATTGGGCTTCTGATTTTTTGCAGTAGACTTTAGCACCATTATTTGTTTTTGAGCCTGCTACTTTATCATTAATCTTTGTTTTGTTTCTCTGTTAATCCCACCGGAGATTAAGACAAAAATCTAAGACGATGTGTATATATTTTTAATGTGTATATTTATTATGTAAATTATAAATTCACAAGACCAAAAGCTGTCCCGTGTAATGTAAATGTTTTTATGCTTAACTTGTAAGTTTAAAACTAAACCTATTAGGATTCTTTTGGCGTGTGCTGTGATTATTTGGAGTCTCCTTCACAGCAGAGATGTAAAGATCATTCTGGGGAAAAGCTTTCTGTATTACAAACACCACAACTTTTCTGTTTGGGTTCAATTATAGTACCCTTCTTAAACGCAAATTACCCAAACCCAAAATAAATCACATTAGTGAAAAGTAATTTCTGGTGCAGTGTAGCACTGATGAAACATACAACTTTCCTGTAGTGCTTTAATGCTTCCTCCCCACCCCACCCCCCAATATCATGACCTCAATTCTACCTTACAAATCCTGCTAGACCAGAGGATGTACATGGGTACAGATAAGAGCTGGCAACACAGGGAATCCAGAACAGATAAACCCCTCAGGACCAATAATGAGAGTAGCCATACCAGGAGGGGAAGGTGAGGGGAGAAAGGGGGAATGGATCACAATGATGTACATATAACCCACTCCACTCCCTGGGGGATGGGCAACAGAAAAGTGGGTGAAGGAAGACATGGGTCAGTGTAAGACTTTGAAAAAATGATTTATAAATTATCAAGGGTTCATGAGGGAGGGTGGAGGAGGGAGAGGAAAAAATGAGAAGCTAATACCAAGGGCTCAGGTAGAAATAAAATTGTAAATAATGATGGCAACTAATGTGCTTGAAACAGTGGATGGATATATGGATTGTGATAAGAGTTGTATGAGCCCCCAATAAAATGATTTTTAAAAAATGACAGCTTATTTTCCCAATATAATGAACCAAAAAACCAAACCAAACTCACTGCCATTGAGTCGATGTTAATTCATACATAGCAACCCTATAGGAATGAGTAGAATTGCCTGACTCTACAAATCCCCAAACTCGAAGAACCTTGAGGATTTATTAAAAAATAGATTTACACCAAAATACATTATAGTTAGACTATCAAAAAGTAAAGATAGATATTTGTTAAGCGCTGTCGGGTCGGTTCCCAGTCTTATGCTCCACAGAACAAACCACTGCCTACCC